TGGCCCATTTCTGTTTTTCATGTTTAATATCTGACTCAGGCTCTATTTTGAATGCTTGACAGTATTTAAAGTTTATTTTGGGTGTAATGTCTACACCCAACATGAAGCTCAAACTCATGACCCTAAGATCAAGAATCCCATGCTCTTTCCCTTTTAAAAAAAATATTTTTTCAAGTTTATTTACTTATTTTGAGAGAGAGAGAGGAAGAGAACAAGCACAAGCCAGGAAGAGGCAGAGAGAGGGAGAGAGAATCCCAAAGAGGCTCAACGCTGTTGGCGCAGGGCCCAACTTAGGCCTCAAACTCACAAAGCATGAGATCATGACCTGAGCCGAAATCAAGAGTTGGACACTTAACTGACTGAGCTACCTTTGTGCCCAAGAGTCCCATGTTCTTCTGACTGAGCCAGCCAGGTGCCCTGTTTGATGATATTTAATTTCCAGTGGAGTCTTCTGTTTTCTTGTACTTCATAGTTGGTTTTTTGTGGGGACTTGTATTTTCATTCAGTGAAGTGTCTAGAGTTTCATTTTCTGTTTTCATCTTACTATAGTTTCCGTAGATGAAGATATGTCACATCTTTGTATTTGGTGGACTGAGTGGCAGTTTTGGGTAGTTTACAAATTCTTAGTTAAAAACCACTCACTTTTTGGGAGACAGGTAAGAGAGAAGCTTAGGAAATGTCTTTGCTGGAAATTGAAGTTTGTATTGTTCTATTTCTTCTAGTAACTTTGAAGTTGTGAAGTTTGTGTGGTTTTATTCTTGTCATTGATTTATTTAGTTAGGGAGGATGGTTAGGAGATTTCACTGTATGCAGTCACCATTACCTCAGCTTCCCGGAAGTCTGTTTTGTTTGCTTTTTGTTGCGAGTATCCTCAATCTAGATTGCATGCTGCATTCAAACAAGAACCATCTTTGTTTATTCTCTGCTTTATCTCTATTTCTAGTACATAGAAGATGCTTAGTAAATAATTGTTAAATAGCTCTTCTTCAAAATTTGTGTGTGTGTGTGTGTCTGTTGCCCCTTTTTTTCTGTTGAAATACTAGTTCTTGTTTTGATGATTTATATATGTCTTGTTACATATGAAGGTTGATGATCTAATAGGGCAGTATATCTTACTTATATCAGCTTAAGATGTGAATCAGATATCCAAGACAATTTTCCTGTAACTTTTATTTAGATTAAAAATGCAGGATTTAAACTGTTAGAAAATGAACCTGATCTGGTCCCATTTATGATGGTAATAATTGTATAATTTTTTTTAATGTTTATTTATTTTTGAGAGAGAGGGAGAGAAAGAGTGTGAGCAGGGGAGGGGCAGAGAGAGAGAGGGAGACACATAATCTGGAGCAGGCTCCAGGCTCTGAGCTGTCAGCACAGAGCCCAGCGTGGGGCTTGAACCCATGAGCTGTGAGATCATGACCTGAGATGCAAGTCAGATGCCTAACCGACTGTGTCATCCAGGAGCCTCTGTAAAAAAATTTTTTTAATCACGCTAGTGTTTAGGCTCTATATCTAACACAGAGAGTGACCTTCTACCCATTAAGATTTTATACTTTTTTTTTTTTAATATTTATTTATTGCTAAGGGAGAGAGAAAGAGGGAGAGAGAGAACCTCAAGCACTGTCAGCACCGAACCCAACATGGGGTTCAAACTCACCAACCATGAGATCATAACCTGAGCTGAAATCAAGGACCGGATGCTTAACCATCTGAGCCACCCAGACACCCCTTTATACTTTGAATTATTGCCCTTTAAAACATTCGAAGGGCCTCCATGGCTTTATCAGGACCGAACCAGGTCTGGATGCCCCTGGCACATGGTTACCTGTCAGGGAAGGAGAAGAGGAAATTAGTAGCACACAAGTGGTTATAAGTAGAAGAATAAGTTAGGAGTGAGAATAAACGGCAAGAAGAGGCTTGGAAAACATGGACATAAGGTGGACTACTGGGAAGTGCCCACAAACCAGGGCTCCAGTTGCCTTGTGTTGGCCCATGTGCACAGCGTTGGCCATTCTTGCTCTAGGATTATATTCTCTGCTTCAGAATAGACCAGCACTGTCAGCACTGTATTGGATCCCTTTTGTTACCTGCCTACTAAAATTCCTCCAATCAGAGAAATGGTTGAGAGTATGAAACTCTGTCTAGAGAGAACAATGCAATTTTAATAGCTGAGGAAATTTGGTGTTTTGCATGCTTCCATTGAAAATGTTTGGATGTTTCATTGATTGGCAAGGAGAACAAAGAAGGCTTTCATTTTAAGGAAGGCTTTAGAGGGCATAATGGGTGGTGCCTGGTGAAGTGGGTGTTTTCTAGTGAATGACATTTGGTCTATTTTTATAGTTGGAAACATTCTACTCTTAAGCTTATTGTTTAAGCAAGCAAGAGAGCATACTGTGCAATCATGAGTGGAATTTTTACATTTGATCCCAGGCTCTTTTTTCTCCCTCATAGTTTGGAGCCTCCATGAATGTGCCTATGAATTTATAAGTATTTTATTGGTTTCAGATCCTGCTCTCAGTTTACTTATCTTCTCTTTGTGGATTATTCAAAGGAAAAAGATTAGAAACATACTGGGAAATACCTAACAGTAAATGCTTTTTTTTTTTAACTTTTTTTTTTAATGTTTGTTTATTTTTGAGAGAGAGACAGAGCATGAGCAGGGGAGGGGCAGAGAGACAGGGAGACACAGAATCTGAAGCAGACTCAGGCTCTGAGCTGTCGGCACAGAGCCCAACGTCGGGCTCCAACCACAAACCGTGAGATCATGACCTGAGCCAAAGTCGGACACTTAACCAACTGAGCCACCCAGGTGCCGCTCATCAGTAAATGCTTTAATATTAGATTGGGGTTTCTTAAATTCTTCATTTATAACTCATTTGAGCTGCCGTATTAGTTTATTATATTTTCCCAGGTTCTTGCAGCTCCTCTGTGACATTCTTGCTTAGGCCTTTCTCTTAGTTATTTCTGTCAGAGCAAGTGAACATTTATGTTCAGAATCCTAGATCAGGATTACTTTCTTCTGTGTATTCAAGCCAAATTCCCAGTTATTTTTCTCAAAAGTTGAATTTTTACAGGTATTTTAAGAGAAGTAAATATAAAAAGTAAAAATACCCATAATCCTAACAACTGCAACCATTTCCTATTATGTACAGTAATTTCCAGTGCTTGTCCTCATGCATACCAATTTTTGTCTATTTGCACTCTGCTGCTTGGTATTGTTTTTTTCATTTAACATTTACCGGATTCTTTCAAGAATTAAAAAAAAAAGTGTTCTACCACCCTTTAGACTTGCTGTAATTTTTTTAGAGATTTACACTTAAATGATGCATTAACACTTGAAACATAATGTTTTCTCGGGCTGATTCATATTGTATTATTAACACCAAAATTTTGTCTTTGTTCCATATAATTTATATATGTAAATATAATTTGTGTCAATCACTTAATTCCTCTCAGATGTAAAAGTGAGCTTTCCTGGGGGCGCCTGGGTGGCTCAGTTGGTTAAGCGTCAGACTTCAGCTCAGGTAGTGATCCCATAGTTTGTGGAATCGAGCCCTGTGTTGGGCTCTGTGCTGAAAGCTCAGAGCCTGGAGCTTGCTTCAGATTCTGTATCTCCCTCTCTCTCTCTCCCTCTCCTGCTTATGCTCTGTCTCTGTCTCTCAAAAATAAATAAACTTTTAAAAATTTAAGGGGCGCCTGGGTGGCTCACTTGGTTAAGTGTTCGACTTTGGCTCAGGTCACGATCTCACAGTCCATGGATTCAAGCCCTGCTCTGTGCTGACAGCTCACAGACTGGAGCTTGCTTTGGATTCTGTGTCTTTCTCTCCCTCCCCCCTTTCTCTCTCTCTCTCTCTCTCTCTCTCTCTCTCTCCCCTGCTTGTGTTCTCTTTCTCAAAAATAAATTACATTTGAAAAATTTAAAAAGTAAGGTTTCCTGGGGTACCTAGGTGGCTTAGTCAGTTAAGCTTTCCAACTCTTGATCTCTGGGTTGTGAATTGAAGCCCTGTGTTGGACATCATGCTGAGTGTGGAACCTACTTTAAAAAAAAAAAAAAAAAAATGAGCTTTCCAGAAAGAATATATAACTTTCTATGAATTGCTTATCTGAATAGCTTATTTAAAGTGTAATAGTCTGTTTTCTGCCGTTTTTCTCATTTAGAATTTTTAACCAAATTTAAGTCTCTAGCTCACTATATCCTTTTGTTTTTTAGAGTCACTTATTATATTTGTTATGCTTAGGAACATTTTTAGAGCAGTAATAACTTCTAATTTTTAAGTATGCTGGACTTCATTCTGTTTTTTAAAAAAAATTTTGTCATGTACCTTTACTTCCCTTTTGTCGTTTTCTCTTCTTTCCATGATTTGCAGTATATTGGAATGTCAGCTTTCTAATTCCCTCGTATGTATACTTATTACACGTCTTGACTATAGTTTTTAGCCCTTGAGCTGTTTGCTCTGCCACCTCGATCCATTTTGATAGGCAAAACAAAGAATAATGAACATGCTCAAAGGTTCCTAACACCACATTTTAGAAAGTTGTTGTCTTCCCACAATCTTTCTCAGGAATTGCCAATGAGGAGAAAAAAATTTGTCTTTTTCTCTGTTTGCTTTTACCTGAGTGTGTTCGCAATTGTGCAATAAGAAGAATGGGCAGGCAGAAATTGACATGAGATGTAGCTAATCCACAAAATGGGTCTTTAATCCTATCTAAGTATTTGAAGTGCCTGAAGGGTTGCCTAGCACAAAGTAAGCAATCAGCAAGTTTTTGTCGGGTGGATGGTTGGATGGATTCATGAACAAGCCTGTCCATAAAACGCATGGATTTCTCAGATGGCAAAATTCTAAAAATCTCTTTAAATGGTACTACCTTGAGATTCAGAAACTCATCCTCCTACTCGTCCACGTGCATTAACTGCCAGAATATTAGTAATAACAAAAGTTATATTGCTTTCTAAGTCATGAACTGACCTGTGTATATATATCACACTTTTGTTTCTAAAGGAAGTAGAAATTCGGAACAAAGACCTGGAGGGACAGCTGTCTGACTTAGAGCAACGTCTGGAGAAAAGTCAGAATGAACAAGAAGCTTTTCGCAATAACCTGAAGACACTCTTAGAAATTCTTGATGGAAAAATATTTGAACTAACAGAGTTACGAGATAACTTGGCCAAGCTACTAGAATGCAGCTAAGAAAAGTTAAATTTCAGTGCCAATTGATTAAAAAATACACTGTCTCTCTTCATAGGACTGTTTGGGCTCTGCATCAAGATCGCACAAAAAAATTGAATATCATTCCTCCTCCAGGAGGATGATCTTTTGAAAATTGGAATTGTATATTTCAGTGTAAATTTTAGAATTCAGCTTGTAGCTAGTTGGGGAAAAAAAAAGAGATGAAAACTTGAACTACAAATTACCTCCATGTATATTATTGGCCATAGTTAACTAGAAAGTTATAAATAGACACTTAATGCAATCTTTTTTTTCTGATATTAGCCAATGGGAGAATTAACAATGTCTGGGTCACATCCCCTTTTTGTGTTCAACACAGTGAAGGTTATCTGCTTCTTAAATTAATTTATTTATGATATCTAAAGCTGTGTTTTGTGCAAAAATTTAGTGATGAAAGCCCTGTCTTCTGTTGTAATCTGAATAATTTCTCAGGATATTTTTGCACTGCTAAGAAGCAGTGCCATTACCAATTAATTCTTGCCAGGAGTGAGAGAGAGCTGTATCTTTAATTGAAACATACTTAACTAGAACTGGGTGTATAGAGTTCTTCCCTTTTTTTATACTGGAAGATATTTCACTCGGTGACCACTCTGGTACACTCTGGTGTTCTTTAATCTTGTCTGCTGTATAGTTTACTTTTCCACATTGATTCCATGTATTTATGAGAAGATATTGTCTCCCATTTTATTACACATTTTAAAGCCAACTAACGAAGGCAGCTGAGTCCCTCAGAAATTTTTCTTTTTAAATTTCTAATAAATTTGACACACAGTACTGAAATACAGCAGCCCGTCATTGACGGTCTGGTCTAGCAATGTTAAGTATATTTACAGAATATGCAGTTACATTTATTTATATATTTTGCAAGAAATCTTTTCTGAATGATCAATGCATTTCAATTTACAAATAATAATGGTTACTGGGGAACTGTTTATTATAGATAATTTAAAGTGTATAGCAATTTTAAAGGGGATCCATTTCCATCAAACAGCCAATCAGAGGACTGTGGGGGTTGGAGCCGTGTACTCTGTCTGGGTCTTCACATCAACCACATCTCTAGTCAAACCTCACAAGGCAATATTCTGAACTGTTAACTAGGCATTTCAAAACAAGAATTCAACAGGCTCTTCTCAATGAACAAGTTTTAATGTTGTTTTGATGTAATTTTAAAAGACTTTTAGCAAACATGCATTTCTTTCTATATTTCTTTGAAGAAGCTATTTTAAAAGTGAGCCAAGTGCTGTCTAGTCTGCTTATGGAATTAGGAATGCATCAGAGTCCATATATCTTTGCTGTACAATGCCTGTGATGTTGAGGAGGGTTCTTTTTTAAAGTGTATGCTTGAGTATCTGACTCTGTGGAGTCTACGAATGCACTGACTTTGTTTGTACCCCAAAACAATTGAATTGTTAAGTACAAAATTAAGCTAATTAATCGATTTGTAACCATTTTTTCACTCACAAGCAGCAACGCAACACTAGACAATTTTGTTTTATATATGTATGTGTATGTATGTAAATACATACATATTAATTTATATTAGAGTGAAAAATAAATGGTTTGTTTCTAAAGTTAGTTTCTAAAGTGAGTTTTCAGGTGTCTCTGAACAGTTTATATCAGACACTTAATCATCATGTATTATATGTGCTATAACATCATGTAAGTTACCTCCATCTATTTTAGGATATTTTCCTCACCTGTTTATTATAGGGAGGATGATTTAGGTACACAAGCTCAGAGCTGAGATATTTCTCTGATAAATCAGGTAATAAAATTATTTGATTGATGGAATTTTGAAGTAGATGTGATTTTATCCATCAGTTTCTGAGTAATAAAGAGCACCAGATTTTAATTTAAATAGGGGATTTAACACTAGGGATCAGGGAATTTAGTTATGAAGAGTTAAAAATTAAAAAAAAAAACAGTATAAGCTATTGAAATGGTAAGTGAATTATTTTAATGATGTAATAAGATATTTTTAAATTTTGACATAGTTGTCATTTAATGGGAAAATAACTCACCAAAATGTCTCCACTTGAATTGTACTGATATGTGAGACATGTGTGTAATTCAATATATACATATACCCATATGTATATACAGAAAATTATTTTTAATATTTTCCTACTGATAAGAAATTTAAAATTGGAAATTTTGTGAGTTTTTTCCTTGTCCAATGAGGCCTAATTTTTTTTTTCTTTTTTTAGGGATTTAACAACTTGAGGGCTGCACCTTTAAATTCCCAGAATGTCTTTAGACGTGTACAGTATATGGGATAAGGTGGACACAAGTGCACATATAAATAAAATCTTCTTAGTAAGACTGTTTTCAGTATTCATTTACAGTAGGAGAGTATCTAGAAATCGTCATCTACAAGTCATAATTAGGTTGTGTGCCTACTGTAGTTTTCTCCATTTCTGTATTATAGAAATAAAAGTTTGCATATTAAAATTTGATTTTTCCCAGAGACAAGTATTATATGATGTATCTATATTTAGATCAAACTGTGGTAATATATTTATCAGAAAATGATGCTGGGGACTGTAGCCTGAACATGGACTTGAAGTGACACAGAAAAGGAGAGCAGAGATCGATCCCATTGTGTATAAGTTACTATATGATAATTATGAATTCTTGTACAAAAAACAACTGAAAAAAAGGAAAAACAAAAATACAGTTTTTATTTTGAAATACATTTGTTGTTCTCTGGAGAATGTACTTTATCTTCTTTTTCCTTCAGTCTTTTACAGATACTTTTTAAAAGGCATTTAAGTGATGGCAGCATTTGCTCAACTCCTACAGGTGCTACTGGATTTCACATTTAGTGTGTTATGTTGTGAAATCCTAACTTTGACATAAACGGTTTTATGAGTATCTCCCTGCCTGGAAAATTAGTTTTTGTTTCTCCTCTCTCTCCTTCTCTCCCTCTTTGTCTCTCGCTCCTTCTCTCGCGCTCTTCTCTCCCTTTCTTTCTGCAGATTAAAAAAAGTTCATGAAGTTACATCCGTCCTTGTCCTCACAGAAGAGCTTCAGCCCTGTCATGGATTTCATGTTTTGCTCTCATTTAACTGCTGGGAAGCAATTAGAGGAAAAGCTTGCAGGTTTTTTTTCAAGTGGAAATAAAAGGGACACTCGAAATTAAACTACCACCTTTTAAAGCTCCTTTTCTGCCCTGTTAAAATTAAATGTATTCTCTCACATGTGTGCTCTGGCCTTCCATGTTTGTGTTTAACTGTGGAGTGAGCATCTCAGCTGCTCTCTCCCTGCAGACCTGGTTTTCTGTCTGTTCTGGAAGGGACACTGGCCAGAGACAAAACTTGTTTGGTGGCAGTGTTTTGTTTTTTAAGAAATTGTGTCGTTTATTGGGTATCAAATGATTTTACCCTTCCCGATAAGCTGTGCGTGAAGTCCTGGAATAGTCTTCATTGAATTTTTGTCTTCTTCATGTTTAGCTCTGTTTCCTTATCATTCATAAGGTAAATTAATTTATATAAAATCTTGAGGAAGCTTTCAGGTAAGAAGTAGTTCAGAATGACATGTTTAAAAATTTTTTTTTTCTCAAGTAGGATGCTGTACTATAGTAAGGATTGGTTAAAAAGATAATTTTCAAATGAGAGAATATTTTTTAAACTACTAGAAAAGGATAATTTTAGAATGGAAGCAGGTGAATCATTCACCCTACTTTAGATTGTGAAATACATTTTTTCCAACCTAAAATTGGACCTTACATTTTGACAACAGTTTTTCTTTATGGGAAATTGATATGTACATGTCACAGAAATGTAAGCATCATTATTGAATTAAAGAAATGGTTTGTTGTTCATATATTACCTAGTAAAATAGCTAACAATTTTATCCAAGAAAAAAACCTCAAAACTCAAATCAGCACTGCACTGCCTAGTGATTTCTGCTTCACTAGATAGAAAAGAAACATTTGAAGTTATTTTTACCCAAAACAGGTGACCCAGGTAGAGAAATTGCATCTGTACTAGAATAGGGAAAAGGCCACAAGCTCCCAGTTTATTTCTGGTCAATTCTCTGATCTCATTAAGGTCCCTTCTATCCTTTGGATGAAAGAACACATTCCAGCAGGTGGCAGGAGCTTATCTGGAGGAGGAGAGGATATTTTTTGAGAAAGCAGGGCCAGCAAAGAGTGGGAGCGCGCTGCCCTCAGTCTTTATCTATCTAAGGCAGGTCAGGCTAGCCAGAGACATTGTCGTTTTTCACTAAACAAGTTGGGGTTGCCTTAATGAATTTTAAGGGCTTTCAGAAGATCCTGTCATTTGTATTGTCAGCATTTATAACCTAACAGAAGACACCTCTCATTCAGAACTCACCATTCTGTGAATTCTGACCAACTTTTGCCAATTCTTTTCACATCAGGGGCGCCTGGGTGGCTCAGTCGGTTGAGTGTCCGACTTCGGCCCAGGTCATGATCTCACAGTTCGTGAGTTCGAGCCCTGCGTCGGGCTCTGTGCTGACAGCTCAGAGCCTGGAGCCTGCTTCAGATTCTGTGTCTCCCTCTCTCTCTGCCCCATCCCCACTCATGCTTTGTCTCTCTCTGTCTTAAAAATAAATAAAACATTAAAAAAATTTTTTTTTAATTCTTTTCACATCAGATCTACCCAGGGATAGAAATAGTACTCTGCTTTCTCCTAGTAACACCAAATTAAGATGATAATGAGTACCTAATAGATGCAAAGTTAAGCCCATTTCTGTACCACAGGAAAATGTCTTTTGTGAGTATTTTTTCCACCAAAAGTCAAGGTTTTATCTTGTTATCTGTGTTTTATAACTATATAGTAAGTTCTTATCTACATGACTTGTGTGTAGGACTTATTTGATTGTTACACCTTAAATGGAATGACTGTTTCATAAAACATGGCCAGAAAGCAGGTGCTCTTGAAGTAAATGATTTCTCAACAACCTCAGTGTGAAGTGGAACAGAAAGGAGTGTTTGT